CAACCATAGCCGCCGCAAGGAAATGGGTTATTAATGTTGATGAAAACTGAACTGATTGCGATCGTCTATCAGTTAACCCTATCCACCATTTACTCAATGTGTAAAGCTTCGGTATGGTCGGGGGTGGATGTCTGGGGTTGTGTCTGGTCAACTGTCTCTTGCATCTCACGAAATGCTCCCATACGATGAAGTGTCTCAAGTAGCATCTACTTAGGAAGCCCTACTCACTGCCTTCCAATGGTGGTGTTTTCCCACCAAAATGAGAGGACGAAAAGCCAACATCCGGGCGATAACCGGGTCGGTGGGCCACTGGTAGTCCACCTATGGGAGTTGACTAAAATCCCTGATTACAAACCGACCAACACCGTTATGGTTGTGGCAGTCGTTACCAACTTGATTGGGTTTCGAGATGTATTGGGCACCTTGGACACTTGGCCCCGTCCCAAGGGTGTATGATCCGGTGAACTGGTCACTGATTTCCATTGGACTGTGGTTTTCACACACGGTCTCACTGCCTTGTCGGTCAGGCTTTGGCTCACCGTCGGTTCCTGTTTTGAGTTCCCCAAGAACATTCACCTGCCTTGGTCCGAGCAAGCTGGCAGTATCTGCCCACTAACAACTCATGACACTTTTGTTTATAAAGATCATTTTACTTTGATTTGTTTGGTACACAGTCGAAATGCGGTCTAAGTGCTCCTCGTCTGACCTTGAGTGAAATGGTGTTTTTAATTTTATAAATTCATCTTCTAGCCTGTGCAGATCATAATAAGAAATTACATGTTAAACGAAGATAGGCACTTAGTTATTCGGAGGGTCCGCAATACGGGCTTACCTTGGCTTCCTGTTCTGTCAACGGTCAACTCCCTGCATCACTGCGAAATGGCTTGCGAAAATCCTAGAGTCGGTTCGACGGCAAATAGCCGAACACAGCCTATGGGACACTTTTGAATTCGGGAACACGCTCCAAGAACAGAAAATAAATAAAAATAATTTAAATGTTTTCACTAGAAGTAGTGTCTTTATACACCGACGTTCCGCTCATACAAACAGATGATTTTATCTGTAACTACATCGAAAAAAATTAGATCGATATAAAAGTATCGGTAGGAAAACCAAAAGAACTACTCCTGAAATGCACTTTTGACATCCAGTTTCTTTTTAACTGAAAACTGTATTCTCAAAGGAATGGTGTCTCTTTGAGCTGTCTACTAGGTCCTACACTGGCTGATGTGTTCGTGGCCAAACTGGAGAGCTCAGTCTATGAATCCGCAATTGGAAAAATGATACTCTGCAAGCGATATGTCGACGATATATTTTTCAAGCTGGTCACAGAGAACGACCAGACACACCGCGCAAACGTTTCACAAGGCTCACAAATCCGTAAGGTTCACCCTGGAAGCCGAGAAATATAATAAACTAGCATTCCTTGAAGTAGTTCTGCACAGGACAACTGATGAACTGCTTGGAAGAAGGGTATGCCGAAACTGAATATGGACTGTACAGTACACTACCTTCACAGTTTCCTACCGCTTAGACACAGGAGAAACGTTATTTAGTGCCTGGTCTTGCTTGCACGAAATATATACTCCGAATCTACCTTTGTAAATGAACCTGATCAGATTAAAAACATTCTCAGGGGAAGCGGATACACTGAAAAGTTCATCGAAAGAAACCTAGAGGAAAGACTGAAACGCAAACCCGCTCAGGAAGCTTTGAGGAAGAAGCTATTCTCTAAACTGCCATTCAAAGGAGACTACCAATGAGAGCATTCAATAAACACAGTTTACCTAAGCTGGCCTCATCTTTGGTTATTTCTTCTTTCAGCTGTGTTTGTGACTTAATCTACATTGGTCGAACAGCAAGACAACTGTCCAGCGGATTGAAGAGCACTGCACACACTGCCTTCAACACCAGAATAGGTGTCACACGAAGCGCTACTCTCATTCGCCTAGCAGACTCAAGTCACCAAGTGAAACCATAGTCAGCCTTTACAGTTATCTATCGAATACCAACTCGCCCATCCCAGTCCCTGCATCTCCACACCGTAGCCCCTTCGGAAGCGATCGGCATTCGTTTGTTCACAACCAATCCATGTGCACCAAAGAGATTGGCGCTTGTCATTCATCTGCCGTGACCGAAGATCGATCGCGCGGATCACGCATCATTACCTGATTGCAGTGTTGAGGTGACGTGGTGGTGTACGGCACGTCGCACCACTCACCCCACTTCCCTCTTCCTC